GGAATGACTGTGCCACCTTCCAATCTTTCTCGGGGTGGTTAAGCCTAATTTCGCGATTATGCGGATGGTTTCTAGAGTATATTCTTGTAGAGGAAGTCAAGTAGATCATTTCTAGAAAAAAACCGGAACTCAATATTTAAGTTCTATCTAAAGGAAAAAAGCCGCGAAAAAATCCGCAGTAATCATGCATTAACCTAATATATATTGGTGCGTTGAGCGGTTCCGACTATAATTGGTGCCAGTTAAATTTTTCCTTATATATGTGTTACTCAAAAAGGTGTTCCTGCTTTTGCAACGCTTCGTGCGACATTAATATCCTTCCATGAATAACGGTATGGTTGAGTAGAGGCGCGGAGGTTCACCTTTGCATGCATCTCTCTGATCAAAGTTTCAAGAATTGTCGCCTCAGTCCACATGTCTTCAAAGTTTTTGTTAGAGTTAGTTTGTCTCATAAGTATGATGAGGCTAAGTGGTTAGCCGTGTGTCATTCTTATGTCTATGGAACAAGCCAAGAGCAAGAAGCGCAGTCAATCTTTGATTGGATCAGAACGATACTGAGTTGTTATGACGTGCAAATCTTGTTCTGCCTTCGATTAATCGAATGATCACTTATACATAACAGCATTTTGCACTCTCGCGATACTTCAATGAGTCTACTAAGAGTGTGTATATGATCGATTGTTCTGAACCCTCTTCGAAACCCTGCTCGCATGGCTATCCTTCATCTAATATTCTGCCAATCCTGTTGGGGATGACTCGCGTAAAGAGTTTATAGACTACAGACAGCAGGTAAACTGGGCGCAATTGCCAATGACGCCTAGATCCCCTTTCTTATACAGCAGCACGGTCTTGCTAGTTTTCCTAGAAGTGGCCACTTTGCATTGCGGCAGGTACCGCGTGAAAAGCCGAGCCAAGGTTGTGACAATGACTGGGGGAAAGCTCTTTAGATGTTCTGCTTCGATCCTGTCGGGACCGGGTGCCAGCCCCATTCCTCATTAAATTGGTGGCGTGTCGAATTTCGGAAGGGAGAACTGAAGGGACAACGTATCCGTCTTGCCTAAGATGGTAGGTAGGCAGGGTTGTATAGTAGAGTAGAAATCGTAGATGACCTTCTCCGTTGCCTTTCGGGATACAGTAGCAGTTCCGTCAGGACGACGAAGGGAAGTCATCTTGGTCTCACAATTGACTAAACTCCGGCGGGCTTGACGGATGCTCTTTCCAGCCTCGGCGGCTTTAGTCAAAACTGCTGTTCTTCTCTCTTTCAGATCCTCCTTTATCGCTTCTCTGCATAGCTTTGCAAGTTCGGACGTTAGCTGGTTATCGCCTGCATCTCGCGCGTTTCCACGCTGGCGTATCAGCTCAAACGTCTTCGAAGAGAGACGTTTCTTGACATCTTTGGTACTCTCAGCTTTACTGGCGCAATCTACAATCTCTGCGCCGATTGTATTCTTCATCCATCTTGTCGCGGCAGAATCTTCCCACAAACTCGCCATCGAAGCGAAGTGATCTCAATTGACCACAGTCTTGGGACTTCGTTTCCTGAACTTCGCAGCTCTTTCTTCACGTACTGAAAAACGTGAAAAGCGGAATCTAGCTCGGAGGAGACGATGATCTGATTCCGTGTAGAACTTCGGAACAACAGCGAAGTCAGTCAGGCAAAACTTTCGATTGACAATGATGTGATCAATTCCATTATGGAATTGCTTACCAGGTGACTCCCATGCCCATCGGAAATGAGAGTGCTTCTGGAACTGCGAGTTACCATGGATAGTGTGGGTCGACATGATACACTCGGACAGTCTTTCACCCTCCTCACTCCATTCCATTCCGTGGGTGCCGATGTGGAGTTCTTCAGCCGCTCTTCTGGGGAGAATCGTGGCGTTGAAAACACCGACGATGACCTTGAAGAAAGTGTGGTTCTCTCTGTAGAGCTTCTCCAGATCCATATAGAACTCTTCGAGCTCTTCATCGCAGCTCGGTGTTGGCGCCGCGTAAACAAGGAAGATTGTTGGAGCTGGAGTTGAGCCACATCTTCTCAATCGCTTCAATCAAGCTTTCGTAAGAATCGATGTCCATTGCCAAGGGAGTGTTGACGAGGGCACCTACACCGCCGACGCCTCGCATGTTGCAAGGAACAGTTCTCCTCCAGTTTCAAATGTGGCATGCAACGGGCGGTGCCTTCTCGTCTCGGTCAGTCCGATGACGTCGTTCTTCCTGGTTTGCATAATCAGATCTTCGATGCACGCTTCCGATGCAAGCGTTCATGCGTTGAAAGTGCAGAACGCCATCCTAGTCCTTCTCCTTCTGGGCGGCCTGTCGTGGCCCTAATATTTTAGTAGCCTCTGCCGAGCGGTATTGGTTCAGAACGCCGCCGTCTCGATGACTCGCTCAGTTTCAGGGGGATGAGGCTCATATTTGTATCTGTTTTTGGCATATGAATATCCACGTGTAGCTTGCGGGCCTCTAACACGTGCAGGGCCCACTCTTGGCCGTGCGAACATACGGACGTGTCGTTAGGTTATATACATTTTTTTTAAAAAAATATAATTGGAAAACATAATGAAAACTCCAAGCAAAATTTCCATCGGATAGTGGAAAAAATGCTCGCGAGAGCTTTCGGTCCAAACAAGCCCAGATCTGATGGTAAAAACGAAAGCATGTGGGAGGGCATGAGGTTGCCGATCTTTTGCTGGTTAGATATGTCCCGAGCGAGTCCCTGTCCTCAGTCCAGAACGCAGTGATTTAGACGTAATGTACCGAGGCTTGTTGCGTGCAATTTAACGCGAGAAGAACGAATTCAACCGCGATCTCGGGCGAACGGGTAAGAGGAACTTAAGCAAGGGGGCCGATATCCCTCGAGTTGCACAACAACTACCTAACCACAGCTTCGAACGCGAAGCGTCAAGCCGGTCAATATAAAGCTCTACTTAATTGGAAATTGCAGGAACTTCGCGTTCGAACACATGAGGAAATATTAAAAAATTGCAAAAACACGGATTTTTTTTTACATAAACAAGAATATTACAGCGGGCATGCCCACACGGACCTACCACCGCGTTGAGGTGGTAGGCCAGCGGGGGCCGTCCCACTTATGATGTCGAACAAGCCTCTCTTCCATTTTTCACATATATTTTCCAAGACCCCAGGGTGATTTTGAGCAGAATTGAATGTTTTTGATTTGAGCTCTCCCCACTTAATGGTCCGTTTCACTTATGATGTCAAATTGGTCTCTTTTCTGTTTTTCCCTCTACATATTCCTAGTTTCCTAGTCTCCAGAACAATTTTAAATAAAATAGAGATGCTCGATTCAAGCTGCGCCTTTTCAGGACCCTTCCACTTATGATATCGAGTTGGTTTCTCTTCCATTTTCCCTCTAAATTTATTTTCTTACTCCTTGGAGTAATTTTAAACAAATCAGAAGTTTTCGATCCAAGATCAGCCCTTGTAAGACCCGTCCCACTTGTGATGTCGGATTGAACTCTCTTGTTTTTCCCTTCACATACAAATTCCTGGTCTCTAGAATAATTTCAAACAAAATCGAGATCTCCGATTCAAGCTCCGCCCTTCTCACTTATGATGCCGGATTGGTCTCTTTCCTATTTTTCCCTCTACATCATCCGGAATAAATTTGAACAAAATAGAGATTCTCGACCCAAGCTCCGTCCTCGTCAATGCCCGTCCCACTTGTGATGTCGAATTGAACTCTCTTCCACTTTTTCTCCACATATATTTTCCATGTGACAAGGGCGGAGGTGGTGTAGTGGCAAGTGGCGCACTATATCACACGCACGGTCAGGGGTTCGAATCCCGGATCGATGCCCGCCTAGGCCAACCAGGCCTTCCATCCCTCCGGGGTCGGTGAATTGGTACCAGACTCGTCTGGGAGGATAAAAGCACTGACTTGTACATCGGCTGGCCACCGCAAGTCATTGTATAGGCCACATACGCACTCATTACGCCACTACGATTCTGAATGGAAGTCGAGTGCGGGGGCGCATCCCTCAGACGGGATTGATTAACGCCAAAAACTGTATCCTTTATCCTTTATATTTTCCATGACCCCAGGGTGACTTTGAGCAGAAATAGAGGTTTTTGATTTGAGCTCTCCCCACTGAATGGCCCGTCTCACTTTTGATGTCGAATTGGCCTCTTTTCTATTTTTCACTATTAATGTAATTTCCTGGTCTCCAGGACAATTTCAAAGAAAATAGAGACTTCCGATACAGGCTCCGCCCTCTTCAGGACCCTTGCACTTATGATGTCGAATCCGTCTCTCTTACATTTTTCCCTCTACATTTATTTCTTTTGTGTATGGAGTAATTTTGAACAGAATAGAGATTCCGATTCAAGCTCCGCCCTCTTCAGGGCCTTTCTCACTTATGATGCCAAATTGGTCTCTTCCCTGTTTTTCCCTCTACCTCAATTTCCTAGTATCCAGAATAATTTGAAACAAAATATAGATTTTCAACCCTAGCTCCGCCGTCTTCAGAGCCCTTCTAACTTATGATGCCGAAACGGTCTCTTTTCTATTTTTTCCTCTACATGCAATTTCCTGAACTCCAAAAAAAAATTTTTGAAGAAAATGGAGATTCCTGATCTTAGCAGTCTCCAGAACAATATTAAACAGAATGGAGATTTTCGATTCAAGCTCTGAACTCTTCAGTTCTCGCTTGAGATGGCGAATTGGTCTCTCTTCTATTTCTCGCTCTACATACACCTTCCTTGTCTCCAGGACATTTTGAACAAGCTCCAAATAAATGGCGCTAAATGGATGGTGCTTACTTTGTGTTAGCATGTTTTCATACATTTCCTCAGTAATATGTGGTTGAAAGTTATAGTAAATGTGCTACAAAGTGACAATGTTCTGGATGAGGTTCTCTAATCCCTCAAAAAACAGCACCAATTTTTGAAATTATGCACTCATAAACACTTTGGTTTTCACGCACTGATGCCTAGTGTGGAATGAATTTGATGTTTTGTTGCTTCTTGGTTGAAGCCTGTACTTCACGCTGACTGATGGTACAGTCAACATCAGTGCCATTTTCAAATGAAGTAGTGTTGGCCATGCTCTACTCGGACGGGTAGTTAAGTGATGAGTGTTAGCCTAGATTTGATGATTACTTTCCGTGTACTTGTTCCTTCTTTCGATTTGGATAATGATTGTTTGATAACCGTGGTTCTGCTCGACATATCTTTTCTTTCGACATTCCATTTTGCTGCAACTTTTCCCCATTACCTGGATTTCCAAAGGTAAATTTTGGTTCATTGGTCGTCGAACTGCCCTGTAGTTACAGCGAACCTCCGGCTCTCTTACTGTTCCATCACTGCGTGAATTACCTTGGAGATACGAGCTAGCTTCCATGTGTTCCTCTTCTGGTGTGTTTTCACCGAGAAGAGCTACTGTTCCCTCACGAACATCCTTAGTGTTTCCTCGTTTTTCATTGATATTTCTTCGGTGTTTTCTCAGAGAGCAGTCAGGTATTGAATTCTCTATATTTCTCAAAAGCGCTCCGCTATTGCGCAAGATGACCGTAAGGCTTTTTGTGTTTGTAGACTTGCTTCTAAGTATATTTTCTCAGCCGCAGGTAGGTAGGGCGGATCTGTGCAGTCACGTTCTGAACCGTCAAATGGAACTGAGAGATTCATCGTGTGCTTTATGAAGTCGATAGGTCGTAAGGGTGTAATGCTGTAAATGACAAAATGACTGAGTACATGACCACCGATCCAGGCGAGTCAGGCTCCAAACGGATCAATGGTACCGAGCTCACGCGGACAACACCATTTAAGTATCTTGGATCGGCAGTTGCGTCCAGCGGCAGCCTGGTTTTCGATTCAGAAGATTTAGATTTGGGATTTTAGCCTGAATGCAGAGTGGTTAAGTGGTGCTCGATGACTGCTGTACTCTGTGATAAGAACATGCCTGAACAACTCAAATCCAAGATCCATAGAACCGTCATTCGGCCGGTCAGAATGTACGTCGTTGAGTGCTGGCCTGTGATCAAGGAAGTTGAAGCCGGTCTCAGTGTGATGGAGACTAAGATGCTGCGCTGAACAGCCGGAGTGACACGATCAGACTGCATAAGTGACGGCGCCATCAGGGAGCTATTCGACGTAGCGTCCATTGCCGACAAAACGCGAAAAGCCCGTATAAGATGGTATGGTCATGTTCTTCGCGCGAATGGTGAGAGTGCCCGTAAGATCGGTCTCAACCTTAGGGTGTCCAAAAATCGACCCAGAGGACGCCCAAAGCAGCGATGGCTTGATACGTTACACAAAGACATCAAACGGGTAACATCCACTCCGAAGAAGCGTTTGATCAGGAAAAGTATAGCCAACATAGCAAAAAAGCAGACCCCGTCTACAATCGGGTTATACGCTGAAGAATAGAATGAAGAAACTGCATCGTGAAGAAAAGGAGCGATCTGGATGGAACGATCTCGGATGCTGGCATCTCGGATTCTCAAGGTCCTGTCTGTCAGACTTTGAGCAACCCTATGGAGGTTTCATATGGGTGCAAGAAAAATGCCGAGAGAGATTCGGTGTAGAGTTAGAGGTTATAGACATGACGGTTTCGGAGCGACGAAGGTCAGCGAGCTGTAAAACTGAAAAAAGACGCATGCAAGCGATCTCAAAAGACGATATCTCCAGAAAACCTAATTGTTACAGGGTCTGCAAGAGGATAGTCAGGGCTAACGTAGCCGAGGCGAACAAGGGGATTGGACGAAGCTCGAATATCGAGGAAGAGGGAAGTTCATCTTCAGGTTAGCCAGTATCCGGTATCGGACCACTCTAGACATTAGAGTAATCAGAACTGTGAAGACCAGCACCTGTGCCGTCCTGAGGAAGACATTGTAGGTAGTGAATGAATAGGCTCTTGAATGAGGAGTACTACCGCAAGAACGACTCCCATATAGAATACCTATACAGTTGGTCCCATCTAAAAGGACAGAAAGTGAGGTTCGACGAGCAACAGGGGAAATGAAAGTTGGAAGGCGATTTTTTCAGATTGGATATCGACCAAGATATGAAAGACGTCAGAAGTCACGGCTGCTCCTAACCAAAGGCATAGACGTCTAGCTCAAAGCAACTATACGAACTTCTCACAGCCGAAAGCGATAGATTGGGGGAGTTGAGGCACACCAAGGCTCAGCTCTGACCTCGTTCCTCTTTCTGCTTGCAATAAACATCATAAAAACAAGAAAGTCTATAGATGGACGACTGAGCACCATCCTCTACGTTGATGGCATCGCTCCGATGGCGGAGAGCAAAAAAGCACTCTGGGATAGGCTGCAGAAATGTCAGAAAGCGCTGAAAGTGAAGGGGCGAATACTGAATGTTGAGAAGGCAGGTTTTTCGGCTCCTAGTAGTGCACGGAGCATGGTAGATGGTCCTGGGAAATGCATGAGAGGTATAGGACTTCTGGCAACTGGGAAGTGACGTGATCGCTGATTACAGCTTTGACCAAGCTGTAAAGGCCTGAATTAATGAAGCATGAATGAAGTGGAGGAGATCCACCAGGATCCTCTGCGACGTTCACGCTCCACTCACTCACGAGAACGGACCGGACCCCGCGGCTGAGCGGGAATAATGCCAGCGAGAATGTGAAGAAGAGTTCTGTTGTTGTGACGGAGTTTGACGGCCTATTTGTTCTTCACCACTTTATGGTGCAAAACCTACTTGTGAAACAGCAAAAGCGGAATGTGTCTGCCGAGAATTTCGCAGTAGACTACCCTTCTCCCGCAGCTTCCTGAAAGCTTCCGTGGAGGCTCTATATGAGGACACTGCGTATGCGTATACTTCATGTGGAGACACTATGCACGCGTATGCTCAGGTTTGAGAGTATCTGTTGCGACATATATCTTTCTCGTTCCTTCAATAAAAAATTCTTTTGGAAGAGTTTCAAATAAGGGCCTTGGGAGAAAGTGCAATTCACATCTCAACCTTTTCACCTTTATATACACAACTTTTCTTGCCCCTAAACGAAACATGTGAGTGGATCCGAAAGGGTTTTTCCAAGACAAAAGCACTTTTCCAAAACAACTTAGCAAATGTGGTACGATGCTTCTTCGACCGAATATGCTGCGGAACTTTGGGAAGCGATGAGCTTGCGAAGCTTTAATGAATTTGCACTGAATTGTACTTACTAAGTATAAGTAAATAAATAAGGTATTATCCTTCTTATCCTTATCCATGATGATACAATTTTTTACTTGGCTGGCGTTTCGGACAGTCGCCTTCGTCAGAGCCTGGAAGCCAAAAAACATTTGAGACTCATCCTGATCAAACGATTTTAGACCTCAGCTTGGTTCAAGTATTGTCAACAGATATATAGAAAGGTCTTGTAAAACACAACAAATAACACACCTTAGATATCAGAAAGAGGACCGTCGACCCCTCTATTTCAAACGACGTACTTAGAGCTTCTCGCAGTGGGTAGGCTTCAAGTGTCCTAACCCCTGGCTATCCGCTGGTGATAATTGAAAACCGCACAGATCAAGGAACGTGGCAAGTTTGCTAGTTGCGGCGAGACATTCATCTTTCCGATTCATTTCGGGACTTTTCGCGCTGATCTAAAAGGCTTGGAGAGTTTTCCGTTTTGAAGTCGTGGGCTCTCGCATCAAGATCCTAAATGATACCTCAGATTCTACGCCTACGTGGCGATGCTTCTTATGGTCTCCCATAGATGTTTAAGGCCTCGACTTTTTGATGCCATTCAGATGCTCTTCAGTTAGAAGCTTTAAAAACTTCAATCAAAACATCATTAGCATGGAGAAATTACCATCCTGTTCTCTAGATCTCACGCCGCTTGGCTCCTACGTATGGTCTCTGATTAGAAGAGGAATCGACGAATTCGCAGCCCCAACTCGAAGTTCTTGAAAGCAAGACTTAAAATGGCTGGGAAGTAGTGGGGAGTGCTACCTATGTGCAACATCCGAGAAGCTCTAGACCAGATCTTGGGCATTTATTCATGCTGATGGGGATAATTTAGAGAGTGATTATAGCTCTTTGTTGCACATATGTAAGGTAGTGCGTATACAATTTTCAGCGTCATCCCTGGCTTCGAAGCTTGATATACATCGCAATAAACAGGCGCCCGTAATTCTGGGACGCCCCTATTAGGTTGCCTCAAAGATCGTGATTACTTCTCAAATCTCGCGAAAAAATTCCTACATTTATCTTGTGGTTTCCGGTCATCGGAAACTGTAATCCATGTTGAGAAATTTTGCTCAGCTGACGTTTGCCTATGCTGTGATCATCCTCAGAATTAAAAAAAGGATGGGAAACTATCTTCTTCACGCTGCCAGCGTTACATCCTGATGTTGTGTTCCGTCGCACGGTGGCGAAATGGGACAATCGGTTTCGCTCAGACCATAACTATTTGGAAGAAAAACTTCGCCCAAACAGATAATTTGCCCTGAATATGGATCGGCTACGCTATGGTGGCGAAGTCCGTTTCTCCAAGAGGTGCCACTGGAAACTGCCCACTCTGTGGGCTGAGCTGACCACGGACATTCGAATGCAGGCGACAGGCCCGGTGACAGGCCGCCCTACGAATACCCCAGTCACATCAAAAATGTTAATGTCACTTGAAGAATCTCGATGTAATGCTACAGCGTCCGCGGGAGCCAACGCGCACTTGCAAGGCCCGGTGAGTGTGAAAAGTATGCGAGGGTCTCCGGTGCAAGAACGGCATCGGGGGCAACTAGGCTAGTCCAAAAGTCCCGCAACGTATGGAAGTTTCGCGTTGCGACGTTAAATGTTGGCACATTAACGGAACGCTCGTATGAGTTAGCACAAGCTCTAGAGCGTCGAAGAATTGATTTCTGAGCCGTGCAGGAAACGAGGTGGTTCTGCTGCAAGTCGATGGGCATTGGCCACGGCTTCAAAGCCGTTCTCTGTGGTGGACCCAAAACCACCAACGGAGTTGGCGTAATTGTCTCTGAAAGGTTCCGTGATCCGATAGTGGGTGTGGAGCGCTTCGATGATCGCTTAATGAAGATCATTGTGGTCATCGAATGGCAAAAATACCATTTCTTCTCAGCGTATGCTCCACAGGCGAGATGCTCCGATCAAACCAAGGACAAGTTCTGGAACCTGCTAGATGAAAAGACAGCTGAAGTACCGTTACAAGAAGCACTGGTGGTTTTGGATATGGCTCACGTAATACTGATGGCGAGCGAATTCTTGAATATGCAGATTCGCATAATCTCGTCATTGTAAACACGAAATTCCGTGACTCTCATCTCATTACCTTCTATAGCGGTGAAAACAGAACACAAATCGATTTCGTCCTTGTTAGGCACCGCGATCATGGACTCGTAACGGACGCGAAGACAGTGCCGTATGAAACTGTCGCTACACAACATCGACCGCTGATTTGTACGCAAAAGATCGCCCCGCCGAAACCGGATTCGCCGAAAGTTGTGGGCCAGCGAGAATCAAGTGGTGGCGACTGAAGGAGAAAGAAAAAGAATCGGCCGTCGTCTCCCGCATTCTATTACAGGCGGTAACGACCGTCGATGAAACTTGGAAGAGTGCTGTCGAAGCGATAACCCGGTCGCGGTCGAAGCTCGGCATGACCAAGCCTGGACGACGAAAGATTGACAAGCAAACATGGCTGTGGACGGATCATGTCAGGGATAAAGTACGTGAGAAGAAAAAGCAATACCACGCATTCCTCTCGGAAAAGACAGCCGATAATTGGCAGCGCTATCAGATCGCGAAGAAAGAGGCGAAGAAGGTCGTTGCTTCTGTGAAGGCAGCTCATTTTGCCGAATTGAACGAGAAGCTCGAGTCTCGCGACGGTGAGCGGTATGTTTACCGACTCGCAGAGACCCGCCATCGCCAGACCGAGGATATAGAAAGGTTCTTCGGCATAAATGACGAGAATGGTCACCTCCTGACGGACCGCAAGCAAACACTGAAACGATGGCGAGAGTACTTCGAAAACATCTCGACAGTCGAATTTGCTCATCCCGCCATCCCTTGCGCTCCGCCAGTATACGGTCCTGTCCAGAAGATAACTGTGAGGGAGACAATTACGGCTATGAAGAGGATGAAATCAGGCAAAGCAACTGGTCCTGACGACTTAGCAGCGGACCTGTGGAAATCGAAATGCTGGAATCCTGCAGGGTGNGGTCTCAACCTAGATGTGTCCGGAAAGCGGCCTAGAGGGCGCCCAAAGCAGCGATGGCCCGATACGTTGCACGAAGACCTAAAAACGGTTAACATCCACCCCAATCAAGCGTTTAATCGGGAGAAGTGGCGTCAACACATCAGAAAAGCGGACCCCGCCTACATGCGGGACAGGCGCTAAAGAATAAGAAGAAGAAAAAGATGGATTGGCTACGCTATCTGAATGAAGCCAACCTTTACGAAACCTTTCGGAAAAGCATCGGAGATAGATCAGTGGCTTCCTCATGATATGACCAGCTCCCATAAGGAAAGGGTAGTAAGTGGCAGTGGCATTCAAGATGTGATGTACACCGACGTGAGTACTCTCAAACGCCCATCTGGAATCTGGGTTCTGCGAAGCGATTCTTGTAACTGAGTTATGAGCCCTTTTTCCCGGGTTATGCTTTTATACGAGGACCAAGCAGTCTGAGCGCGGAGCGATGGCGCAATTGGGAGGACTACGGACAATAGGCGTGACACGGAGCTTTGAATGGTTGTTGCATGTTCTCGTTTTGCGCTTTTGTAGAAACTGTCTAAAACGCTTGCGAAACGCCTTACAACATCAGATAGACTATCTACAGCCCTTCTTCATATTAACGTAGCACCAGAGATGCTGATACAAGTGAATTTTATTGTCGCCTCTACAGACCGAATAGGGGTGTACATAGAGCCATCCTGCTACGGAGACTCAAGATGTGATCACGAAATGCAACAGCTCCATGTACTTTCACAAGAGGGCGGTCGGATGAGTCATCAGGCTATAGCGCTTTTGTATGAAGGGGTAGAAGTGAGCAGGTACAATCTAGCTGTCATTTTTATGCAAAAAATACCATCGGAACAGTAGGCGTGAGTTTTATATACAGATATGATAATCCAACACAAAGTGTTCGAAACTGAAGAGCTCCACACAATGTGAGCAACGTATAAAACAAGTTCACCACACCCATCACTCTCACGGCTCCCGTCAGATGAGGTGAGGAACAATGCTGTGCAAGAGTTTCCATTTCCACAAACCATGAATGAGAAAGAAAGTTTCTGGATCATGTTGCGCTGAACAAAAAGTATACCAATGAATTGAAGCAAATTATGAAGTTGCGGTTGCTAACGTGGAGGTCCAGAGCAAAAGCGCAAGAGCCAATAAGATAATACATGGTCTAAATGGTAGGAAAAATATACTTCGAGAGGCTGAATTTGAGAGGGTGCACCAGGTGGAATGAAGCGCACTTTCACTCGCCAGCTGGCGAATCACCCTGAATCGCTTCATGATCTTTGAACAAGATCCATGAGTCGGCAATCAGTAAAGTTGAAGGCAAATCTGTTGATCAAACGCACGATCTGATTCAATCCAGCATAAGTTTCCGCCAAATCTCGTCACCACATCTTAAGTGCTTGGAGCAGAAGGTTTTCACACCCTTATTGGGCCTGTGGAGGCGACGAAAAAAATTTACTTATATTAGCATTTGTGGTGCCCTGTAAATATGTAGGAGGGCTGCAGGTAGATTTGTGATGCGTGAAAGCGTTCTGCAAGAGCCTTATACACTTTGATCAAGTAAACAAACCACAAAAATAGTGTCAAGTGATTGATTATTTACCAACGTATGAGTGATTTGTTTCGCCTCTGCTCAGACGAACCTCTTCGTTACTCACTAACCCCTAGGCTCATCAGAGTTGAGCTTACTGGGCAACCAGCAAAATAACTAAATTGGTGACGAATTCATTAAAAGTAAAATTAGTCATGATCAATAGTGTAATTGAAGTACTTAAATTCGAATAAGTATGTAAAACATGTAATCTACTAAATAAGCAAACATGAAAAAAGGACTAGGGAAAAAACTTGGCTAGAAGAACGACTAGATAAAATGGACATGAATTGAAAAAGTGAATAGATAGAAAGAAGGTAAGTCGAAAGACTTGAAGTGAAAACATATGGAGTCAAATAAGAAAAGGAGCGGTACTCAATTAAAAATTGCGGGAAGACAAAAAATGTGGAAAGCATAGTACCCAGCCAAATTAAAACTCCAATAATCAATTTCGGTGTGTTGGGTAAAACATCAAAAAAGAACCTACATGATACCCCGAAACGCAGATATAAATTGTAAAACGAGCTCATGCATCAAGAATTCAAATTTCCGTGTCACGCCTACCAATCCGTCGTCCTCCCATCTACCCCACCGCTGCACGTTCAGCCCTGCTTGGCTCTAGTACAAGAAAGACAAATTGACATGCAACCTGGGGAAACTGGGCTCATAGCTTCCCCAGAATCGTTTCACAGACATGGAACCCAGATTTGAGATCAGCGTTTGAATGTACTTATTTCGGATACATCCCATCTTAAATCGCTTTTGCGACCTAGAATTCTTTCCTTGTCAACGTATCTAGAACCCATCTCCCGCTCTCGCTGAACGGACTGGTTGGACAACGCTATTACTGGAAATGAGAAAAGATGCCTTTATGTAAATTAGTAGAGGTTTTGTGGCTGAATTCATCAGAAAGGGGTCAATCGGCTGTGAGATCAGATCTGTCTAGTGAGAAGATCATGATGTGCGTCTAAGGGGTGCTCGCTTTTTATAACACTATGAGATTCTCCCTTCCAACAGCGCGGTCAGGAGCGAGGTCTACTGTAGTCAGCTACGAACCTCAGCGGTAAAGCTCCAATCAATCTACACGGAACTCGACAATGTTTACCTGCTGCACGACAATGCAAGACCAAATGTTTCGACGACGGTACAGCTAGAGGTCGTGAGACTCGCCCTGGAAGTCCTAACGCAGCCTCCCCCCTCCCACACACAGATTCGACCTAGTCCCTGCCACATACCACACGCTCTCGTTGATTTTGATGGTGTATATGCTGTACATCCACATTTCACTTTCTGAAATAACGTTATGTCAAAAAGTCTGGAATTTATACGAAGTTCCGAGACAACCTAACATATTCATTAAGACGCACATGGGCGGTGCGATTTACAACAGCCAGCCAAAGGATAGATCTTGTGACCTTGCACGGAGCAAAATGCGAAACTATACAAACTTTTATGACGTAACCACAAAAACAATAACAAGGAGAATTAACTAAAATATTTGACCAGGAAAAGGAAAAAAGTTGTCGGGAGCTGACGACGGGGGCGAGGCGTGTCCTGGGGAGGGCGAGCGTCGGCGGCGGCCAGGAGGCGTAGTCTCTGTGGTGAGGAACGGAATCCGATACTCTAAACAAAATGCCTCAGCTATTTATACCCAAAGAACTCGCGAAACTTCCTTCAGGTCCTACCTTATGAGTAGGCCGCGGGTGATCCTGCTGCCCCTCATGATCCTTCTTGACCTACATGGCACGCCTCTTGCGACCCCATGTGGGTCCATTCGACAGCGGAGGGGGCGAGCAAGTGGCGCAAACCCTCATCCACATGGCTCATAAATTGAATGTACATCCCATTTCCAACTAAGCCAGACGGGCTTTCTATTCCTCTGCGACCGGTCAAATAAAAGAAGACTCTTCTAAGTATACTAAAATCTGACTTCTACATTAGCTGGCCACCGCAATTCATTAAACTATTAAGATAAGTCACGAAGCAGCCATGATATTAAATTAGGAACTCGATAAGGAGATGCATGCCAAACCGACTGATCAAACCTGAAAGTCTTTACTGGAGACCCTTGAAAATGTTTTTTATGTCTTCGGTAGCGATTTAGCGCGCGCAGTAGAAGCGATCTGAAGTTAGGTGTTGTTGAAATCGGGGGAGATGCATTTCTCCCAATAAGTTTGTGAAAATGGCTCATTGTTTTCTTGACTTATTCCTTGTTCGCCTGCTGGAACATTTCATGATCTTTGTGCAAATGCGAAATTAATGGATCATTTACCGTATAATTCGATTGCGGGCAATCTAGTTAGCAGAAACTCGCCAATGTGCGGCAGTCTCAATGGGGTCTGTTTTCCCACAATTAGCTCTTGATAGAGCTCGGTATTATTGCTGAAACTACTTAGTGGTCACAACTCCACATGAACTCGACAGGTATCTCAATGGCTATGTTCGGTGAATTCACATTATCAATGGGTTCGGTATTAGACAAGGAAATTGATTGTGTAGACGAATCTTTTAGTGGAATTTGTAATGTAATCAAGTGGTATGCTTTAGCCTTGATTAAGTGCATCTACTATTTCGGCATTAGTCCTGTTAGAGTGTTCATGGTCTCCCAGCTCCCACTATTTGCAAGACTATCGGTCCACGTTTCTGCTAGGTCCGCACTGACACGTCTTTTCATTAATGTTGACTTTGCTTGCTATGTTTCCTAGAGTTTAAAGGCATAGTTCACGATATTTTTGGGTAGACCAGATTATGATGAAAAATGGACGACAAGATCGAAAATAGTGCGATGAAGGTGGAGAAGCTGCGTGAATCGATGTTTCCAAAATGAGAAAAGGCTTCGAAGAACCGTTGAAAAGGAGCTGGACGAGAATGAGACCAGAAAAAGGAGAAGAGTGGGGCGTTTGGACGAGTTATGCAATGTGTCTCACTGCGTAAGCGTGGGTCCTGGTACGAATAACAGACTATGGTAAGCAAAAACTCATCCACTTACAAGCATAAGTTGACAAATAAACCCTAGTAACAGCAAAAGTAGCTCACCTTTTGCAGCCTAGGAGTAGGAAATCAAATAAGGGATCGCTGCAGCAAAAAGAGTAAAAGAGGAAAAAAGAATTGGAGAAAAACACTGCCTCATCACTCGGCGACCAGCTGTTGTGTGTGGGTCCTAGAACGAATAGTTGCAATCTGTATTGTCTCGACACTCGTCTGACCGTCTGTCGTGACAATGGTAGAGAGGCGGGAAAGCCATTGATGTTCCCGCCCATTGAATATCGTGAACTGTGCCTTTAATTGTTTTTTTTTGCTCATACCTGCTAAAGTTATCACCTTCGACGCACACTTCAAAAGCATTTGACAAGCAATGGATCGATCGCTTTCTGCAATCAAAATCATAATCAGAGTGCATATTATTATGTGGTTAGCTCGATACCAGACCCAGAGTAGAGAAACTTAGAATTTTCAAAATCATTTTCGGACCAAGATCCTCAGAAACGGTCGGGAAGACAAGACTTGATTTCGGTTCCATTGCCTGCAGCCTGACCCTTTTCACTTTTGTTAAATGCACTGA